AATAAAAAAAGTACACACAATGAGTTGACCGAGATATGAATATCAATACATCCATAACCTTTTATGTTCTCCAAAAAAACAGCCACAATGTATAGAGCTTTTCATTCTTTTTTGTGGCGCTCTTTTAAGTGGAAAATATTCCCTGCATGCCTAATGAAACAGCTGCGACAACATTGATACTTAAAATTTTGAAAATAAAACGTACGTGAATATTTTTCTTATTAATCAATCGTACTTTCCTTGTTCGAGATACCAAAAACCGTGCTGACCGTGTTGCTGCACCTAAGATCGAATTCTGGGAAGAACAATGCATTTTATGAAGCTGGAATTTCCAAGGAAAATCTTCTCGCCAATAAATTCATTCGATTTATGGTAATTGAAAACCAGTTGTCGTCAGTTTAAACAACGCGTAAATTTCTCAAGACACATTCTCATCTTTTTTCCACAATATAGTCAATAAACACGATAAACTTAACACAGTAACCATTACTGTGTTGTTATAATTTTCTCCGCTAATTGACGACTAAATTTCCGCAAATCTTCAAGTTATTAGTACTCGTAAGTGTTAAAAGCCGTCACTCAGTTTACAACTTCTGTTGATAATAGGCAATTAAAAGTTTCATATTAATTACCATGAATTCGGAACTAAATTTTAATTACTTTCGTAAGACGATGAGTAAACTCAATTTGCTCGAGAGTTATGTTTTCCTAAAGGTTTTGGTTCATTACAAAATTATGCAAAAACTCTTTACTTCTGGACGTAATACACAATTATTACCACATAAACGCCAAAGTCTGATTAACATCGTTATCACTTGTAAACCTTCCCCATGAATGCAAGTCGTAATAATCTTAACCGTTTCAAACAAGAATCGATTGTTCACAAATTATTTACTCTCCACTGCCAGTTACACGTTCAAGTATGATCTTTCCCTCCCTGTGTGTATAATGCATGACATTACAGCGATTCTCCAATGAAAATTGTGTAGAACGAACGTGTGCGATATAAAAAATAAAACAAATCGAGTTGGTTGGATTTCCCTTGGTTCCAATGTGAAACTGAAATAGTTCGTGTCGTTCACTTTATCTTTTCATTCTTGATCCTTCATCATCCGTCTACATTGTGCTCAATCAGAAAAAACGCAGTTATAATATATGAGAGCAGGCAACAGAATTTTCCAATTTATTCTCAGAACAAACGAACGGCCGTAAAAGAAAAATGATGTACCTGCTTCACCACATAATTGAGTTCTGGACATAGGCGAAGACGGTAAACATAAATAAAATAAATAAGTTTATGTTATTAGAAAGTATTTTCTTAGACCTGTTATTAAGTATTTTTGATCCACTTTAAAAATCATTTTACCAAACTTAATTCTGCTGAAATTTCTTTCTCTTAAAGATTTGATCTGACTGTCACTTACGAACACTTTTATTCTCTCTGGCTGTCTTCTAGATTGAATTAACAATTTTATGGCCAATGACTCAATAATTAACATTTTGTGTAGATTGTGAGTCATGAAATTTATGAATTTTTAATTTTCAATAAAGCTCGTTTATTTCAAACCCAAATCCTGTAGCAGCTTCTTTAAACTCATTGAATTATCAATTTATGTATTTTAGGGATAACTCTCCTGCTTTGTCAAAAAATAATAACGACTTTTCAAACCCTATTTTATTTTATTTTAATATTTGTAATTCCCTTCACTCACCTTCCGCCTCTCCGAAGGATCAATTTTCCATTTACTTTTGAATGTATTAACAGAAAACCAAGTGAGTTATACTTATTTGCTTTCATTTTCGCACTTTTATCTTGTTCTTTTTCAGTAGTAATAGTCCAACACCAAATAAATATTTATTCTTTTCGTAGCATCTCACTACATGCCTTACTTAAAATACACCTAATTTATTTTTACATAAAAAAACTAGAGTAAGAAAATATATGGTTCATTGATTCCGCTTTCGACCTATATCCCGCCAAATTATATTAAACACCAACAAAAATAGCACACATCGAACTCGTAAGTTTTTCCGAGACTAGGTCGTGATGGACAATTCAAATACACGTCCATTACCCAGAACAGCGAAATTTACGATCGCCATCTAAAAATACCAATCGTCCATTACAATCGATCGGCTTCTGGTAATGTGACGTCAACTCCTAGTGGAAAGATCACCCAAAATGGTTCCATCTAGGAAACTTATGGGGGCACATCAGATTCGGGTTAATTTTGTGACTCACTAGCCACCAAAGATTGGTTTTATATATCTGCTTTGAAAATAGAACGGACGAAAAAAACTCGCTCAAACGATTTTTATGTAACCGGGCTGTTCTAAAGTCGAAAATGATTGTATCTTATAAACGAACAAAGAGTCGTAGAAAAAAATGTAATTGCAACTAGAGAACAAAGTGATTTTGTGTGTCTCAATCATTCATGTGATGACTGATCACACGAATGGAATGGGCTCGCACCGTTCCCTTGGCATACAAATAACTTTAATAGTTTACAGTGTTACGAAATATGGAAGAATAGATAGATTCCACGAATATTAGTAAACAACAGATGCAGATTTCGTCAACTAGAATTGGTGTCCTCCACACGCAGGTTGTGTTTATGTCGCGAAGAAGGTAATAAATATCACGAGTGATTTGAAAAGAGCGGTATTTAGGACATTCGGAAGACGTTCATGGAAAAATATGAAACGGATGTTTTTTTTTTTATTAAAAATACAAAAATCGTGACGCACTATGAATGTATCAGTCAGTGGCAAGTTCACTTGATGCCAATAAAGGGGTTCGTTACCAATTGTATTGGCTTTTAAAAATTTTCATTACGACCACTGGCGTCTCAATTATAAAATAATCTGTTCGTTGTTAAACGACAACATATTTTACTTATTTATATCCGATTAATTTGACAATGACTATCTAAGCTATGTTTTCTGCCAACTTTTTTTAGCAGACTACAGTGGCGTCTGCTAAAAAAAGTTTAGATCAAAAAATGACAAAATTCTCCACAATAAAGTCACACATAAAAAAGTTATGTATTCTCATGTTAAATTTATTCTAATTCTCCCTCAACTTCCATTTACCCATGTCTAACTTTTTTTTTTAACTGGTGAAATTGAACACCTGCATAGACAGGGTCAATCACTAAGCGTGCGGTCCTCAATATTTCATTAATTATTTTTAGAGACAGAAAAAAAATCAGATTTCAGAGGCCAAAGTATACCGTTACTTGGGTAACACAAAAAAATTATTTTATTTATTTATTAATTTTTGCACAACAAAATTTTTTGATAGCGTCATTAACATGTTAGCAACGGCACGTATATTGATTTGAATAGATGCAGTGTAACATTACTAATAACAGTAATGTCTACCCAAATTTTCGAGAAAATGGGGCAAGTCGTTCTTGTTTTGATAAATAAAATATATTGCGTCATTCATTAATTTTTTTGAGTCACCTTATATAAGTGATTCTAAAAAAAAACATGAATGCACAGATAAACCGCAATTATAGAGACATAATTTTTGCATATTTTAGATAGGATTTATTCGGTAAAATATTGAGATGACGTCATCAATTTTTGGGAAGGGGTAAATGCATATTTTTTTAAACGTTTGCAAGTTTTCAGAGCATTCGGCTTTCCAGTTTCAAAGTTAAATTGCAAAGTGTTGTTATACAGTTTGGGACACGGAATTTCAAACGACCTGTCAAGCATAATGACAATAAGGTATAAGGCTACAATATTTTTGAAATGTCAAAAGTTGGTTGTCGTTTGAAATTTCGTGTCCCTAACCGTACAATTTTGATTTTTTTTCTAAAATCTGGTTGTCTAGGACAAAAAGTCAACCGGATTCATAAACCACAAGTGCATTTTATAAAATTTAAATAAAATTGACTATTGTAAATTTTGAGAATGACGTCATTCCATTATTGGTGGGGATTATGAGAAATATTTTGGTTAGCGTTTTACCATCTGCACGATATTCCTAACCTACATATAAAGTTTAACGACAATCAGTCCAGTAGTTACGGAGATTACTGATCTAATAAAAATTTGACATACATAATACACAAAAATGATAGAAATCTTATTTTTCGAAAAACTGCGTCAAAATATACCTAGCAGGTAAACTAGTCGGAAGAAATTGAATTTTATACATTCGTAGCACACTCAACATCTTTGGAGACGACTAATCGAAAGCTGAATTTAAAAGATTAGGAAAATCAAATTAACATATTTAAGAAGTGTTTGTTGCGTGAACAAAATGAAGCACACTTCAGCTTCTTGACAATAAAATGAACACTCCTTTCACCGATTGATTCTCATGTACTCAGTACATTATAGAACCTCATGCTATTGATAAGACAGCGAGCATTAATTTCACAGATAAAACTATTTACAGTTTTTACTCACAATGCTTTAAATTAATCTGAAGAAACACTTTAAAATCTTCGTAGTAAAACTCAAGATAGTCTTACTTTAAGTGGGGCATTCATTTCTCTAGAATGTCATCGATCCCTATTCAAAATCCCGCTGTATCTATCACATGATATATGTAACTATACAGATTTTTTAATCTGAGTTATCAGTATATCGGCACACAATTGAATTTTTGAACATTATCGACAAAAATTTTGAGATCGTTTTAAATTAGAACTCTGACTATTCTGTACTTAAGAAGCGTAATTGAAAAAAAATATTAAGTGCATAATTTTGTTACCGATATCAGGCAATTTTTTAAATTTTCTTTTAGCATTTAATAATCACAACATTTTGGATGTTTTTTAAACTGTTATTTACCCCACACCCATATCCTGAATGATAAGCAAACTATTCTCTAGGAAATCTAGCGAAGCGAAAATTAATGACACTATATTATTCTTTTCATAATTATATATCGGCAGTTTAAATCGATAAACCAAAAAGTTAGAACAGGTAAAATAAAGCATTATTCGTAATACACACGGCACTGCTTTCATCAGACTTACTTTTCTTGTGTCGGCAATGATTCAGCTTACACATGCTGAAGGACTGTCCCATGGATCGGTTGGACCCCCTCTTTGTGTGACAGCAGCGATGCCTCGCGGCGAGGGGGCCGCCTACCGTCGAGGGGGCCGCCCTGGGGCACAGCCCCACATCGCGCCACCACTGTTTTAACGTCACCGCTACGCCGCTGACCTTCCCCAGAACGCCCTCTCGTTTTCGCTGTTTCGACAACGGCCACTGATCCTTGTACGTGTCCACGCCACTGGTCCGGAACAGCTGCAGCTTCAGCCTCTTCCGGTTTTTCTTCTGGACGAAGTTTGACGACGCCGTCTTGAGCGCAACGACGGGCCTTGCTGCCCTTTCTCTTCCGGGAGACAACGACACAACGATTGACGGTTACTCTCCAGGTTCATCTCCTCGCGGAATCTGACGGCAAACAGATCCACTTGGTCGGCGAGCAGTTCTTCGTCCCGGAATCTCAAAGAGCGATCTACTCAGAAAAATTCGCCAAATGCTGTTTTTTTTCGAAATTTGGGCGCTTTAAAGCTAATCGTGTTTAACCCGAACTCGGTTTGTAACGATCAATTTTTGTATGTGGATGTTGGCAGCGTGTTGGAAGTGATGCTTTCATCTTTTTTGAGTCTTGTTGCGACCTTGGAAACCGTAAAAGATTTCAAGTAGGTTAAACTAGGAAAAAGTTGTACTATTTCAAGAAAAAATGAGGTAACTTGTACCGTTTGTACTATTAGAAAAAAACTAAATCCATTATTTATTTTAAATTGATTAAAATTAACCGTTCACAAAATTAAATAAACATAGCTTCCTTACTTTTACTTTGATAGTTTTGAAATTGAATCTTAATATACTGTAGGAAAACTTTTTTTGTGTACTCATCAAATTTTGTGACCACAACAGTGTCACTTAAACAGTCGACGTCCCGGTAGAGATTTTCCGAGATTCTTCACCACAAGATGACACGTGCGTAAATTTCAGGGTTATATTTAGGAAATAGGGGCTTTTAAGTTTTAAAATTTTATTGGTATACAAAATAGTATTCTTACTAAAATATTCCATTATAAGAAAATTTCCATCACTACGGGATTTCAAAACGCAAACCTCCACTTTGGTTGACAATAGTATATTGTTGTATAAATAAACTTAGAAATTAATTATTAATCTTCTTGCAAACAATACAACTTAGTTGACTTACAAATTTTACAAACTTACACGTTCATAACTGTGCGTTTGAAACTGATGAAGTTGTATTGATATATTTATCAAAACATATAGAATAGTGTTGCTTTTAACTCGAAATATGGGTAACATATTAATAAAAAATGATATGGGTTGATAACACTGTTCTTCGTCGATAAATGTAAGTATCCCTGAGATAGAATTTTTCTTGAATAAAGTTTATTTTAAGTAAAAAAATACCACTTCTAGAACGATTCTCTAAATGATTTTATTCAAATTTCCAAAAACACACAAATACATTATAATGAAGCTACATAATTTTTAAAAACCGGAATCTTGATTAAATTTATAAAACGGTACAAATTACAAAAAAATTTGATGTTTAAATCGGTGACGATGGAATGACGCAGCCTTTCAATATGCAATACTTGTATACTTATACATGTCTGTACCTCTTTAGAATAGTCTGACCTAAATAATATTTTGCGCCCGTATGAATGACAATTTTGACGTACGATTGACGTACAATGCCAACAAGGTTGTTGTCACGGGTGTCAGCTTCCCAAATTTGTAAGTTAACGACAATACCATTGATGGCGTGGTTGCAGCTAATTTCATTCAACTGAATCAAGGCCAAAACGTCACAAAAAGTGTGTGAAGTGGACCATGGAAACGATCAAAAAGAGCCATGGATTTTTCAAGATTTATCTTTGATAGAATCTTCTCCTTGTCAGATTTGAAAGTTTAGGTTGAAAATGCAATGATCAAAGACAAACTTTCAAAAATCCATGTCTACCTTTGATCGTGTTTTTTACTGCTTTTTTGGTGTAACCTGTAGAAAACATAATGATAAATGACGATGACAGTGTAAAAGAATAATTTCATTTAATCTACTAAATTTTTTATTTAATACACTTGCCTGGAAGAGTTGTTGCTGAAAACCTTTTATCATCAATCATCACAAAAGTTAATAATACGTGGATGGTTAGACCAAGTCAGCTTAGGTCAAGTTAGATCAGGTCAGGTCAAGTGGGATATTCGTTGTAGTAGTTTTAGGGTCACTTTGCAATGAAGTGTCCAAATCAACATTCGTATGAGTCAAAGATAAACGTACGGTTCTTTTTTCTACAACTGGAAATAATTTTGATATCAGAGACGGGTAATTTGGAGAACAGTTAATACAAACAAATACTGAAGATTGACTTTCTGTTTATTGGAAAGCAACAGTGGCGTAATAATAATTTACAGCCTTAGCCTTCTCTTCGATCGCTTGCCTGAAAGGAACAAAGGTTCTATGAATAAGATGTATATGTACAGATAGAGGATGTTCAAAATTTAACGATACATGATTAAATTCACAAGTCCAAGTTCGAGTAAATTCATTAAAAAATTCTGTATGTCAATTTGACGTTCACTTACGAAAACAAAATATCGATTTAAATAGATAGAAAATTTAGCCACTTTCGTCAGATTTATCCTAAATGATTTTAAAGTTTTTTATAATGTTTATAAAATGACGGAATCTATGGATAAAGACAAAGTGCCTCTCGCCAAGAAAATTAAACTTCGAAGAGCTTCTACATTAAAAAAAAAGTGCCTTCTCCATAAATAGTCCTGACTAACGGGTCATAGAATTGGTACGCCATTTTTTTAACACCCTGTATAAGTATATACATGAAGACATTTTTTGGAGGCTCCCAATCAACGCATTTGGAATCAGAAAGTCAATGTTCAATAAATAAAATCAAATGATTTCCCATACAGTTAGAGTTTATCAACAAACCAAATGGAGATTTTGCTATACAATGTGTCTTTCAAAATAAATAAAAATTTTTAAATGAGTTGAAAGAAGGAAAACAGATGGATAGAGATCTGTAATCTGTCAGTAAAAATATTTTACGACTACGGCAAATGACATTTTCTGAAAAAATATATAAATGCAGGGTGAGTCATTAAGATGGCGACCCTCGATATTTCAGTAATTATTACAAATACCAGAAAAATTCGAAGAGCAAGGTTGTACGGTTCTTTGAACATTATACTTTAAAATTAATTTTAACTATATAGTGTTCTGTTTTTAGGGCGTAACACACAATTTCGTTTCTTTACATGAAACATCCTATATATTTTCACATGTTTTTAGGCTTTATACCTAAAGTTCATTTTTGAAATTCCGAGAGGACGTTACCACGTTATTCGAATTTTCTTGAAACTTTTACCAATGGAAAGGGTTACAAAAAATCGGAGTAGGGTTACTTTTAAAGTCTTTCTTACAATATTTTGTGAAAAGATAAACAAAGACACGCGCTTTTAAATAATTAAAATTAGTTTCATAAACACGCTGTATATGAAAATTTAATTTCATTTATACCATAATAATATCTCCACAAAATATTGTAACACAGATTTCAAAAACCTTACTGCGATTTTTTGTTAACATTTCCATCCGTAAAAAATTTCAAGAAAATTGGAATAGCGTGGCAAGCGCCCATTGGAATTCAAAAAATAAAAAGAAAAAAAGATAGAAACATGTAAAAATACACAGAGTGTTTCACTTAAGAAAACAAAGTTGTGTGTTACCCGACCCCTTGAAAACAGAACGGCCTGTATAGTTAAAAATAATTTTACAGTATAGTGCTCAAAGAACCGTACAACTTTGATCTTTGACTTTTTCTTGTATTTCTAATAATTAATAAGATATCGAGGAACACACATTTATTGACTCACCCTGTATACACAGAGTACGTCACTAAAGGCTGGATATCTCGTTAATTATTACAGAGGTAGAAAAAGCTAAAGACTAAAATTGTACGGTACTTTGAGCAAGTTATTTTTTACTTTTTGAGTGTTTCATTTTGTTTCATAGCACCTTGTCATTAGCCTTTCCCTACACTTTATACCGTTGATTTATTTTTTAAGTACCAATGCGATGTTGCCACGTTATTCCTGTTTTTCCGAATTTCTTTAGTAATGTAACGGTTCACAAAAAAATCGGAATAATGTCGTTTTTAAGATCTGTGTCGTAATACATATTTTATGTAGAGATAAACAGAGTTACGTTTGGTTTCCATTAAATAAAATTTTAATACACATAGTGTTTATAAAACAACACTATAAAACGGTACAATTTTGATATTGAATCTTACTCTACTTTTTGGTCTCTTTCTTTCAGTCTGTCTCTTAAAAAATAAAAAAAAATGGCAACAACTGTCAATTTTAAATATAGACAACAATACTTCGGAAAAAGAAAGAACAAAAAATTGAAAATTATTATAATTAAAAAAAAATTAAACTTTCAGTGCAAGAAAACTCAGTTGTATTTATACCAGAACCTTTACGTATCTTTATTTATCTCTACACAAAATATGGTAACCTAGATTTTAGAAATAACCCTACGGCGATTTTTTTGTTAACTCTTCCATTTGCTAAAAAATTTTAAGAAAATTAAAATAGCGTGATACTTGATAACTTCAATGGAATTTAAAAAATAAACTAGTTATAAAGCCTAAGAACAGGTCAATTACCTAATACATATATGTAAAAAAATATATAGTGTTCCGTTTGGAAAAACTAAGTGGTGTTGAGCCTTAAACAGAAAACTCTGTATATAACTAAAAGCAATTTGAGTGTATGGTTCTCAAAGAACTGCACAACATTCCTCTTCAACTTTTTTTTTCTATTTCTAATAATAATTAATGAGACATCGAGGAGCGCGCACTTAGTGACCTGCCTGTATATATAATTTTATTTAAATTATAAATAAAACATCTACTTAAGTTTTCAAAAAATTGTCAGACAATTTCTATTTAATGATAAAGATAAAGTTGTTCATAGAAATAGTAAAAGATATTGTATAGATAAATATTATCTATTTGTTATAGTAACCAATTGAGATAAAAATATCTAAAACTTTTTAATGGATCTCAATTTGAAACGAAAAACACTGAACCTGGCGATCACCCAATTTAGATCACTCGATCTAGACAATAGTACAGGCACAAACAATATATACAAATATTTTTATACAACTCTAAAAAAAAAAACAACTCTTTTATGTCAACATTCGTTGTAATATTTTTCTAACGTTGGCTCTACTTCATACTTTTTCACATCTTATTACAAGACCAAAAAACAAAAAATTTCGTCAACGAATGGACGAGAATCAATTTCGCATAATAGTTACTTACACAAATGCCACTGAACTGATCGTAAATCTTGGTCGAGTAAAATAAAAAAAGTTACATAAAAAATCTGTAAAGTTATAAAAACTGACGCACGTAAGCGCAGATAAACAAATTCACGCACACGTATTACGGTGTGAAACAGTTAAGAAATCAAGGTAGAGCAATTTACAAAGCACAAAAAACTAATCTCTATTTAATTGAATAATAAATGGATCTTCATAACAGCACATAGTGTAGTAACGTTAACTTGAAAATTGGTTGTTAAAAATGCAAAACAAAATTATCGGGGATTTACGGAAGGCACAAAACTTAAAATCTTAATTAATTGAAGAATGTATGTTAGAGGTTCGTGAAATTTAATTATTGCTTTCTAGAATTGTATTTTTGCCTTGTTACACATTCGGGTTCGAAAATATTACTAAAAAAAATGGTGAAAGTAGGTGTTATCTTGTTTGGGGATGTTTTTTAGGTGTGTTTCGACAACAAATTTACATTTAATTTAGACGAACGTGCTTTAAATGTGACAAATTTTAGGGTCATTCAATCGTGCGCTTCGCGCACGATAAAGTGACAGAAATCGCGACCCGAATTCTTCACACGTCCATCGGTTCCTGGTAACTATGTATAATTATTGCATTAAAATGCCCACATTTCCAGTAGCGACTACATTGATTTCATAAGCGGCAGTAAACAAATGGCAAGGTTACTATTTCAAACGGTCGGAAGCGTTTATTTTCAGGGCTACCAACATCTCCATAAATGCATGTATTTATCCCAAATACCTCCGCCGATCTCATTGAAAAATCTCGTTTACTTTCTTCGCAGCGCCGGCGATCTCCTAAATGACACCAAAGCACACGATTAGCTTTAAAGTGCTGCTACCGCCTAAGCTCCCAGTAGCGTTTCGTAAATTCTTCTGAGTACTTTCGCCCGCGATGGACCAACGAACGGTTCGTGTGGTGGGGCCGAGGGGTCGCGATGAATTATTCAGAACGGCCCCTCGCTATATAGTAAGGACGTGTCCGATCACATGTCTCATTAGAAATCAGTTTGTTATGCGCGATCAATCCTTCTTATCGCCTCGATTGGAGGACAACGTCCGCGACAATATTGGCAAAACGACGCCGAATTCCACGTTAATTTCATGCGAGACCAGACCAGATGTGCTCCTCTCGTTTCGTGAAATTCCCATCGATTAACACTTTGACACGATGCCGATGACATTTACAGATAATTCAATGTCATCCGGTCCCCTCGAAAAAACCGGAGACAATTCAATAAATTTCTCTAATGAAATTCCTCAGACGTGCCTCGTCCAATTTCAAAAGGATAAAGACCTTTTAAATGTCGCAGCTGAAGGATACCTAACACTTTTTTTAGCCCTCTAGCCTGGATCGCGTCCAATTTCCAATGTCATTACCGAGGACGCGAAATTTGGAAATCTAAACAAACACTATCGAGGGAAAGTTCCGACGGGTTAGTCATTGCGAGTGTTGCGCACACCTTGAACTGAAACAGACTTTACGTAAATCCGGCCAAATCGTCAATTCTTTCCTGTTTTCCTTGTGAACTTATATTGCACTGGCGTCACTAATTATGAGCTTCCCCCTTCCGCAATAATATTGCGAAGCTTGAACCGAATTTAGCACTCTTTTGGAAAACAAACCGGTACTCCAAAATAACTCAATTTTCAAAATTACGCTTCTATTTTTATCACGAACAAATAATTTCTCGGTCCAGAAATTGGCATAGCCTAGAAATAATCAAATGTCGGCTGGTTATTTAAACAATGAATATTAATTGTCATGATTTAATTTAATTCCACTACGTATTCTAACAGTAGATAGATAATCTTGGAGCTAAGGACCGATTATTTAAATTCCCAAATAACTGTTCATTACTCATGTATTAATAATAATAATTCGCCTAAAATTGACATTTATATTACATATATCACTTTGTGTTGACTTAAAATCACTTAGCATAAAGTGGTTCGAGGTCTATTTCAGTTTTCTATTCAATGTCGTCAATAATTTCGTTTTAAACTTTGAGATTAATTTCGTTTTTTCTTCGAAAACTGTTGTGACGGATCAAAGGATTTTCCTCCAAAAAAATCTGCACCAGGATTTTAAATCATTCAAGTACATTCAGCTGGAATTGAATGACGACAATGAATACGGAAGAACACGGAGTAGAATGTGTATCGTGCAACATTAACAGAGTAGAAAGTGCAAACGAAGTGAGTTTTTATTAATGATTTGAGGTTAACTACTTCATTGCTAAATTTTCTTTTCAGTGTCACTAGTAGTCGAATTAACCTAAAATGGCATGAACAGAATAATAAAGCACTTAGTGAACTTCTGATAACAGAAATTAATAAAATCTTATTTTTTATATTAACATAGAGTTAAAATTAAATGAGTCACTTCTTTGTGTGATTTACATCGTGACTAATCTACATATTAAAATGGAAAATAGTAATCTTTAGACAGCTGCCTAATTTGGAAAAATTTAATAAACGTCAATAAAAAAATCAATAATTTTAATATACTGGGTGATTCATTTTGATACCTAAGACATTTACACATTTTTATAGGTTTCACAAAAATTACCAGAAAGTGGTCACAGGTAATTTTATTGCCACAAAAATCTGGAATGAAACCAACTTTAGCTCCTTCTGAAACTAACAACTGTAAACTGGTGTGAAATAAGCTTTTGCATGTATACTCGTTCGGTGATTGGAGCACTTTACAATGCCACATCATAAAATCTGTCTTTCTGCATGATCGGTTGCTCGAGCATCTGTAGCAGCATGAGAACCTCCTCGAAGTCTGACACGTGAAAACATTCCTCCAATTGCGTCAGAACTAAAGGATCGGGTTAGTATATAACAAAAGCTTGCGTGTTGAAGTAGAAATCTGATGCAGAGATATGTACTTCGGTAAGTAATTTTAGTGCATGAGTGGTTTCATTTCATAGACCTCTTCGACCACTCGGAGAAAAGCGCAGATGGATAAATAATATTTACATAATTTGGAAATATGGTGTTTGAAGACATAAATGTCAAACCAATCCTGCGCAGGATTCTGAAAATCTGTATGAACAAGTTTAGTGGAAAATTGGACCTAATTTTAACGAAAATTCAAAAATTTTAAACCGACTGTTATTTAGAATCACACAAAATTCATTTCAGGCTCGTTGACATTTCTTGACATGACAAGAACAAATTTCACAGTAAATCGAAATGGCCATACAACACCAAGCAATGAAGCAGGCCATAGTTAAAAAAACATAAAAATGGCGTTGTATTAAGTAATATGACTTAGTAGAAAGGAATAATATTGTAAATTTTTTCAATTTTTATTGCAAATTTTTAACAACTATTCTGCCAAAACCAAAAAATATAATTTTCAAAATCCTTGGTACCAAATTTCATAAAATCTGTTTTTTGAACTTAATACAATTTTTTAAGAAACCTTTAGCTTCTCGAAAGAACTTCGCTTTCATATCAAAACAAAAATATGGTTTCAATAAGATAGCGCTCGCCGCAATATTAGTAAAATGCGACAAAATATTTATATGCAACATAAACAAACTGATTAAAAACATTATATTCTGCCTCTTTTTACGAAAGGTCATTTGTAAAGGTGGTTTTTAAAATTAAAGTAGTGTTAAATGTAACTCCACATAATTTTTGATTCTAATGCTGCGACGATAGCACCTGAAATTATCCAAGTATCATCAGAAATAATTGATTAAAATATCACAAAAAAAAAACAGTACATATTATTGTGGCTTCCGAAAAAATTTCCTTTGTCGCCAGATTGTAAACCACAAAAAAATGTAATCTCATTTGTATAACATATTCTCTCTTTCAAATATGTTATACATACATATCTTATCTGATGCGTCTAATCTGAGTTTTTAAATACCGAGAATCGATTTGTTTTCCACAGTGCAGTATGAAGAAAAATGATCCTGAATTTATTTCATTGGTTGACTTGATTCTTTTTTTTTAATTTAACCCTTAAATTACAGGCCGTACACAAATTTGCGCCAGATAATACGAGTTCACAAGTGTTTTTCTAAATCTTTGAGCTGATACATAAATTCCTCACTTCTGTTCCCGAAAAAAAAAATTTGCGATTGTGGTCCCCCTTGGAAACTTCGCGGGCCCGCGTGACGTCACGCCACCGGCCGATAAATAACCCGGTTGCCAGGCAACCCTACGCCGAAATTCGGCCCAACGCACCGCCAACAGATCTGGAATCGTTTCAAAAAAAATCGGCGCGTTTCTTTTTTCGGCCCGCGCTGGAAACTTTCAGTGACTGTACTGTTTTGATAAAAGTATGTTAACATTGCGTAAACGATAATGTAGGCGCCACGATTATCACAAATCACAACAGAAAAAAGCGATTTTCCGAATTTTTCGACCTCGGTGAGCAAAGTTCGACGCGTCGTGGAAAAGCTGACTAATCGCGAATGCAAATTTCCAGCTGACTCTCGGAAGCGGGAAACGCTCACGTGTCCGCCGGATTCTGTTGCGGTATCGAAAAGCCAGAAGTTTTCCGGATGTGCAGTGACGGGTAGAGAAATCCGGACGGCCCAACCACGCCTCCGCGCCTACACTGTGTTTACACAATCGGCCTTATCGGCCACTATCGCGAATCGTGCAGAGGGCGGCTTGTTCCCGAAACAAAAAACCCGAAAAGTTACAATAAAAATCGGCGATCCGATCGAGAGCGATAAGGCTTATCATTGGGATTCGCTGCCAAAATCCCGACGCCGACAGTGCAACCACACGAACCGTGATAAACAACAAAAGAAATTTACCATCCACAAGGTTTCGCTGTCCCTTGAGTCCCAACACAGGAAACGAACAAAACAAACACACAAAAAAAAAACTTGGAAATTTTACGGAAATTTTGGATCGCGCACGACACCGGAAATCACATTTTCCGTTCCGAAACTTTCCATACGAAATCGGCCACTGTGTGTGCTGTAGTGCGGCGACTCGATTCAAACCATGGCCTGCTTCGCTCGCGCTCACGAACGTCGTCGCGGCCAACTTGACTGCGTCGCGCTTTCAAAACAACTGAAAATAAATACCGCGGCACGATACACAGTGCGCGCCGAACACTACTACTCTCTCCCCGACACATATACATACACGCACACACACTCACACATTATACGAAAACTTCAGCGATTGCTCCAACTCGTTACGAACATTGCCGACCATTCTTACGAGAAACTGATAAAGTTTTCATGTGCACGGAATTCAATGCACTCCAATTTCTTTTCGATAAATACTTCACACCCAAATATACAGTATCACCTTTATGAAATTGTTTCTGGAATTAAGCCACCCACTTGCAAGGTTAGAAAGTGGTTAACGAATGAATTTAATAACTTGCCGATGGAACAACCAAGTTTTGCTATTAAAAATTCCCTGGATTCCATTAGTCACATAAAGAAATAGTTTTGAAAGATATTGGTTTCATTCGATGTTGGTTCTCTTTTCCCAGTACCACAAACCTTAGTCTTTTTAGATGACTTGAAACAACAAATCATAAGAAAACACATACATTCAACGAATATGAAACATAACATTTTTCAATCTAAAGGGCAATTATTCCAACTCTTTTCATGGTTGTCTTTTTAATGAGACGATCTGAAAAGGATTTGCATGATAAATTTGAACATTTTACAAGGATAGGGCTAAGGTATTTAGATGAGAGTAAGAGGCCCTGAAATTTATTTTTAAAATAATGATTTTGGCACTGCAACTATTTGACCCCTTATTTGACAGTTACTTGACCGTAACTGTCAGTCTGATTCGCATCGGCATTGCCAACATAATTATTTTAAAAATAAATTGCACGACCTACTAGAGGAGTAGGGTGTGTTACTAGAACCTTAATTTGTCCAAATTCACCAAAGTAAACAACTGGTATAGAACTATAATTGGTTGTGTCTGAGATTTTAATGTAAGTTTTAACATCTGATTGACTTTTGACATGAATTGTTTCGTTCACAATTCAAATTTAACGTGATAATGTTGTGTCATAAGAATTTCAAAATTTTGTGCGACCAATCCAAAATAACACTAGATACCAGAGCTATAAAAACCACGATCAAAGACAGCCATGGATTTTTGAAGATTTGTCTTTAATACAATTTTCATCTTGACAGGTTACCGTCATTTTGGAAATTGATGGTTGAACAAAAAATATTTTTACTTACATTATATACATGGCTGCCTTCGATCGTGTTTTTATTACTCCGTCGGTAGAAACAACATTATGAAATAATCTGCAGTAATTTTCATCCCTTACAAAAAATTTAAAAATAAAAAATAAAAAATATTCAAAAATTACATCGTGATAATTTTGTGTTCCTCATCTTAGTGGATAAATTAATTACTAAGTTTGAGTTTAAGAAACTGGTAACTGAATCATCTACTTTCTAAGCAGAAAACCCAGAGAGGACGATTTTGCTCACAATTCCTTTCGCGCCTTCAGTAACAAAGGGGCTAGAGAATATTTTCAGAGGACTCAGTATAAAGGTTGTTTATACGTCCGGACAGAATCTTCAAAGTCTTCTCGGAAACCCTAAAGCTAAAGTACGGCCTAATGAAAACTTGGGATTTATGAAATAAGCTGGAAAGATTGTGATCAAAAATATATTGCGCAAACAAAGAGGTCAGTCATCACGCGATTCAAAGAGCATCTGGCTCAGATTAAATTCCGAGGGTGTGAAAAATGAAGCGTTGCTCAACATCTTAAAGGTCAATAATTGAAATTTCTAGATATTCAGAAGAGTCTAGAGATATTCAAAAAATCTTGTGCTTTTTCCAAGTGATCCAGCTTTCAGAAGAACCGGTCGTTTTTCACTCAGTGGTAACTAGGGGAAAGGTAAAAATAGGGACGAAGATTTCCAACTCGATCCACTACTACCTAGATCTCTGCCGTAAATGTGACTAAAAAATGAACCAGAAATAGAACGAAAACATTCAATCGTGCTCATTATAATCTATGATATGCTTAAAAATAATGATAGACTCTTATAAAACTATAAACTACGACTCAATAAAACGCTTTTTGCTAGTGAGATGGTTTACAACTTCAAACTTTATACGACTTGTGTTGTTTGGGGATGCATTTATGCAAGTTCGATTCTCTTGAAAAATTTATAGCGGGAGTCAGTATACGGACTTCCAAGTTTTATAGTTTTATGAGGTTCCCTTGTTAGTTTTGAGCACTATACAACTCTCGGAAAGATAAAGAAATAATGCAAGTTGTTTCACTGAAATGATTAAGATGGGTTGGTAAAATTCTCAGTAGTTATTAATTATAGTGTTACAATACAAGCGGAATAGTCTCGAAAATTGTTCACCGCTGAATAAGGCTGAGTACGATAATTACGATACTTAAAAAAAGTGCAGTGAATAATCCATGAAAAACTAATTATATATCACCATTCGAAGACAAAGAGTAATTATTTTGTACGCCGGAAATGAAAACAGAGGAATTAGAGATTGTTTCTTAGCATCATCTGCCAACAATATTACAGACAGACTATCATCAAGAAATTAATGCTGCCTTATTTGAACACTGAATTGCAGACACGGTACATCCTACATAATTGTCATCAGGCGCGATAATTGTCATGGACAACGCATCCAATCTCCGTGGTATTAACATCAAATCGTACAGCTAAGGCTGTCTTCGTACTCCGAATTCTTAAATGCAACATGAGACGCACAAAAAATCCTAAATTAAAAAATTTAGAAGCGTGTAATTTATAATGTCAAGAAATTTATTTACCATTTGTACTCATCATCATGACGCAGCCATGTTTTAATCAAAACTGTGAACGCAATTTTTTACTGACTCGTCATCAGGAAAACGAGTCGTTTTAGGGGCTTTTATCGCACTTATAGAAATATTTAATGGAGACCCTTATCGTTCCGCTTTTACCTGTACCCTGTCGGCTCCTGTTAGAAAATCAGCCGAATATACCATGGGGTCGTAAATCTTATTTAACAACCATAATTCGGCACTAAGCATCAGCTCATTCGAAGTGAGATTTCATTATCGCTATCCAATTGATGATACTATCTCTCGGGATTTTAAGGATTAATGCTGTCATGATCAACCCCACCTACTTTTATCGTAACCTCTACTATTATCATTTTATCTATTAGCTCTTTAAGTATTCTTTGCACACCACTGTATAGTTTGTTAGATTTTTTAAATGAACAATGCTCAATCTGAGCCGCTTTGAAATTGATAAAAATGACCCCTCCCTGGTGGCTGACAGTTAAAAGGAAATAAAATTTCTTTCTAAAATTATGTTAAAGAAAAATTGCCGACTTTACGAATTTATTTACCTACCCTAAATCCTCCACGGTTCAATTTAAATCGCCTTAGGCACGTCCGTTAAAAACTTTGGCGGATTTTCGAACTTCATTCATGCACGTGCACATACAAACACAAATTACGTTTACTTTTGTTTAAGTATTACGAAATTCGTAACTCAATGCAGCTTTTGTTTTGCACAGCCTTGTGGGATTTCAAATTATTCATATAATGCTAACTTTTCGGCCAACTTCTAGCACAACAACTCTTAAGTTCCTTAAAACTTGTCTTATTATTGTTGTGAAGTAAACCAAGACTGACTTCTCGAAATTAATCCTCTGAATAAAGAGAGTGAGTTTGAAAGTCGATAATAACCAAAAACCATAAAAGAAAATATTATGGGAAGGACAAAACGAATAACGTAGCTGGGGGGCACCAATCGTCAATTCTTTCAGCGAAAGGGCCAAACGAGGAAACGGGGAGGAGAGCTTACGATTTTTGTCTTTCAGGAGCAGTGAAGTCGAATAACAAAAATAAATGGATGAAGGACGGAAAAATCTGTTCTGCACCTGTATATTCCGTCTGAAATCTGTATCAAGTAAGTCAAAGTCACAGGATATTTAATAATTTTAATTGACCCGAGTTATCCTAAATTTTTCTGTCTCTAATTGCAGTGTAACTGGAAATGTTTAAGAAACATCATCATCAACAAAAATAAATACGAAAATGTTAAAATATAATTCTGAGCAATCTTGTTCCCGAGTATATTAAACTACATCGGTGCTATTTATAAAGGAATTTTTCACATATACTGATTTTAAATCGTAAACTTGTCAAAACACAAATTTGGCAAGAAATAACTGGAACCGAAATGAATCACATGTTGAAATTGAAACTGATCTACATAACTGTCTTCATTTTAATGGAAACTGAAAACGCTCAAAAGATGTAGTTTAAAAACTAATTGCACAATTGCTTTTACTACACCATTGAATGATGCCCAAAAATTAGACAAAAGTATTGTTTTTGTAAGTATCATTGTATTTTTTTAACAAACGTTGTTCATTGGTATTCAAAAAATTAGCGTCAATATTTTTACTGTACGCACTTATTACACGTATGTATAATCAAGAGTCGCAAAAAACTACTTCATAAATATAGAAAGCTTAGAAAATAAGCTCCAGGTGCTACGATTAAACACACGCAAACCAGCACCTGTTTACAAAAATTGCGTCTAAAGCGACAGGTGTTTTCAGGAAATATTAAGTCCGATTGAAAAAAAGAGGGTAATAGAGCAAAAAATGAATCCTGGTAATAGAGCAAAAAAAAAAAATCCTGACATTAAGTCACTGCGATTATTCCCTAATATACGATATTACCATCTGCTAATAAAAATCTATGTTACGGGAGAAAAAATATTTCAGCAATATTTGCCTGAAATTCGTTTCAGTCTCTGTGGAATTGAGGTTAAAAGCAATAACTATAGCAAAGGGTACACAAAATAAAACTGTAAACGCGAATTTAAAGCCCAGTTGATGACAGCTGAAACACAAATTACATCAATCACTAAATTCGGCTGCAGTTTAAAAGCACGCTTTGATCATAGGTAGAAACAGGTTAACTTTTTTTCTATAACGGGAATTTATTGGTATTGTTAAACAAATTGGTAAACAGTGACGACTAGTAATGGTAAACAACTGTAAGTAAATTAATAATTACTAATATTGGAAACGTACAGTAATATACATCCATGATGTAATATACAGATTTAAATA